GAGTACAGCAGTCTTTCAGAAGGAGTAGGAACACTTCTGGCTGCTTTAGCGCGTTTGCAGTCACGGTATAACCTCCTTAAGGGCAGAGTTCAAGTTATTTTGAATATTCAACAGTGTCCAACACAGTAATTAATACCCAGTTAGATGCTCAATTAAAATGATTTTTTTTTAAATGTTTTAAAGCACAGACAATAATAATTGCTTCATCTCTTTCCTTGCTCTTATTTTATGAGGCTAAACCCTTATATAATACTTCAGTATTAAGATAGAGTCCAAGTTTCGTAAAATCAACTGAAAATTTTCCCTGTTCATAAATATTCTTTGTATACAGAGAAAAGCACATAAATATGTGATGATGCTGAGTTTTTATTCTAGAATTAAGTAGAGAAAAATGAAATTGTGGTTTTCTTTGGATCTAGTTTAAAAGAGAAGGAGAAGAGTTAGGTAGTAGGTTATTCTCGTCAGTTAAGGTATCATTCAGAAAAGATGCAACAAAAAATACAATTTGATTATAAAGACCACCTTTTCCTTGGTTATTTGCTTTAATTTTGGTGGTTACTCTCAGTCATCATGATTTCTATTCAAACACTTGAGATCAATCTGTGGAATCTCCTAAAATCAACCAATTAATTAATATGTCATATTTTGTAGGGATCTGCAAACTTTTTCTATGAAGCACCAGATAGCAAATATTTTAGGCTCTGCAGGCCACACAGTCTCTGTCACAACTACTCAAGTCTGCTGTTGTAGCAGTGAAACCAACCATAGACAACATATAAACAAATGAGCACGGCTGTGTTCCAATAAAACTTTTTTTTTCAAAAACAGGTAGTGAGCTAGATTTGGCTCGTGGTTCTGTAGTTTGCCGATTCCTACCTTATTGCATTATTTCTACTTTCATTATTAAGACTTTCATATATACAGAAAAATAGAGAGAGTATCATGTACCCATGATTTAGTTTTAACAGTTGTTAACATTTTGCCATGTTTACTTCATCTATTTGATTGTTGAATTTTTATAAAGAATATTACTGTCATCGTGAGATTTCACTCCCAACTAGCTTAACATGAATCTTTAAAACAAAAACATATTACTGCATAACTAACCTAATCTTTAAAAATAAAAACATACTCTTGCATAATCTAATAAAATGTATACTAATTCTCTAACGATCTCTACTTAAATGTCTCCAAATATCTCCAAAATCACTTCTAAGGCAATTTTTTTTTTAAACCAGGACTCTAATTAAGGATCACCCATCGTATTTGGTTTTATATATTAAAAGAAAAGTTCATTTAATCTAAAACAGAAGCCCTCTCCTACACTTTTTTATGTGTGTGTATAACATTGACTCTGAGGAATATTCTGATTTTAAACAATGTGAACAATATTAGAATCAATACATCAATATAAAGATAGATAAAAAATGCTTTTGTTTATGTCATTCTGAAAGGAGCCCTGGTGGCACAAGCAGTTAAGCGCTCTGCCGCTAGCTGAAAGGTTGGCAATTTGAACCCATCCAGCCACTCCATAAGAGAAAGACCTGGCAATGTGCTTCCATAAAGATTACAGCCAGGAAAACCCTATGGGGCAGTTCTACTCTGTCACACGGGGTCACTATGAGTCAGAATTGACTGGACAGTACCCAACAACAACAACGTATTTTTCTTAACTTGTTTGCCTCAAATTCTCCTCTATTGTTAAGGTTTTTATTGTTATTGTTTGTTCTTTTTTAATATTTCATCCATTGTTTATCTTTGAAACAGTATGTGGAGCTGGTTAGGGTAATTTAGAGACATTTATGAAATGAGAGGTTCACATGTGACGTAAAAACATATGCCAAAGGGTTTCTCTGCAATGTATGTGCCCATGCTATCGGTGCTCTGAAAATGAAGGGGGATAGAATAGTCTCATTTACTTCTCTTAGACTTAAGAAATTGTACATCAGTAGAATTCATCGACTTTAGTTAAAGATGCTGACTATTTTGTTTTTCAGGAAGGTGCTACCGTATCCTAAACCAAAACAAAAGAAAGAAACCAAAGCCATTGCCGTCAGATCGATTCTGACTCACAGGACGGAGTGGAACTGCCTCATAGGGTTTCCAAAGAGTAGCTGATGGATTCGAACTGCCGACCTTTATGGTTAGCGGCCATAACTCAGCGTAGCTCTTAACCCCTGCGGCACCAGGATGCCGCAGTATCCCAAGCTGTAAATAAACATAGAAATGTAGACTCTTGGGATGACATTCTGGAGCTGGCAGTGCCTCTCCCCAGGAGAATTCTGATGCCTGTGGGAAGCACTGTCAGCTTGCCAGGGAAATTCCACAGATAGAAAAATCACCCCAGATTTTATAAAATTTCCATGCAATGAAAACTGCTGGTACGTATGTGGAGGTACCCATGTTAAACAATGCTCAGAGTAGAAATCGGGTGCGGGGAGATCCGACACTTAGACAACCGCGGTGTGGCGTTATTGATGAGGGGACTGGAGAAAAGAATTGAGGAATGTGAATCTGGAAATGAGAGGGGTTTGTGCTGTGTATATTTTAAAGTCTCTTAACTCATGGGAATTAGGAAACAGGATCCGTAAGGAGCCAGGAAAAGGGACTGAACCAACGGAGATAATAAGAGTCCATAAAGGAAAAGGAATTAAAAGGTCTGATTAGAGACTGGAGTAGAGGTGGAGTTCTCTCAGTTAAGAAAAGAAATAGTATAGATTTACTTAAAAGGGTTGAATTGAAGAGAAAGGAAAGAGTTAAGACCTGGAGTAAGAGAAAATATAATAAAAACAATGATGCTCTAAGCCCTCCACACTGTCCAATATGGTAGCCACTAACCACATGTGGTTATATAAATTTAAATTTACTAAAATAAAATAAAATAAAATTTCAGTTCTTTAATCATATTAGTCACATTTCAAATGCTCAATAGCCATATGTGGTTAGTGGTTACCATGTTGAACAGTGTACATCGATAATAACATTTCCTCATTGTAGAAAGTCTTATTGGACAGCACTGTACTGAGAAAATTAAAATGAGTAAGAAAGAGAAAAAGGCAGGGAAAGAGGAGGAGGAGGGATCCTAATGCATAAACACCTTCTCCCATCTGTGCTTAAAGTCACCCGCTCCCATGTGACTGTCAGGACAGCCTCTGCTCTGCAACACTGGGATTGTGCCACACCTCCTCTCTGGAAAGCTGCTGGAGAAGTTGCTGCCTTAGAAATGCTCTAGCTGGGTGGGATTGTTGGTGCAGGACATTCAGTTAGGGGTGGAGTTGGGGTTAGACTTGGGGAAGAGTCATTCCATGGATTAAGAGGACCTGTGCACACCCCAGCACAGTGCCCAGAATCCAAGGTGGATAAAGCAGTCACTTGCCACTGGAAAGCGGCCAGTATGGATCCTTTCCTCTCTGGTGCCCAATGGATCTTTCTAATACATTGCTCGGACTAAGTCATAGGTTGACACTCACACTCTACCATGTCTGACGAATGAGAAATTTGACCTGAGCATCTCCTTTATTTATTCATATCAACCAATTCTACCATAAGCATTTTTATTCACTGCAAGTAAAAACAGGCCGCCTATCTCCTTCCCTCCATGCTCCATAAGGAATGGTACGGAATTTCAAACCACTGTCGAGTAATATTCTTTGCCACGCATTTGTAGTGAAATGCTGGCATTCTGTAGAAACTGTCCCTCAGAGATACCCTACCTTTCTGAGGCATTTTTAACACCCTTTTAACCATGCTCAGCATCTTATCAGATCTGTTTCTTGTTCCAGACTGCCACTTTAAACTCTGAAGGTCCCCTGCATCCATAGGTTTCCTTCTACCTACAGTATTTCTAGACTTTGGCAGGTGAAAAGAAAATATCCCAAGAACATGTTCAAACACTGCCTCATGAAGGTCGCTGTTTATTTTCACAAAACTCAGCACTGCATTCAATTTCCTATTTGCATGTGTGGGCAGCCATTTCTTCAGCATATTCCCCATGTTCTGGTTGGCTCACTACCGAGATTCTAGCTGTGGGTTTGGCAATAGTCATTGGCTTTTAACCCACCTCACCTGAAGAGCAGCTTTCTGTGTTGAAGTTAGTATTTCAGGCACTGAACCTCATTTCAAAAATTATCAACAGGATTTTAATTGGTGGTTTTGATTGTTTACTTTTAATCTAGCTTAGTTATATTTTAAGTTTTGTTTTACTGCATTTGAAGACAGCAGAATCTGTAAAATAAAAATAATTGCAAGGACAAAACATTCATGTACAGAGAAAATGGAGGCTTCTCTGGACTTAGGCAGGTCACTTAAAAAGAACTGTGATTTATGGAGAAGACCTTATAAGTATCATAATTTTCCTTGTTCGAATAAATACAAAAAATAAATTCCCAGTCTCAAAATCAACAAATTTTCTATACCTTAGACAACCTAAAAAATAACTGAATCTTTCCTAACTGAAATGGAAAGTTTGTAATTTTCTAGTGTGACCTGAGGGTTTGGCTATGATCGTGGACCAGATAATCCTCTTTCAATAATATAAGCACCCACACTACACTTGTCCTTTAATATAGGAAGAAGCAAAACAGCCTGTGAATAAATCACAGGGTGAAAAGCCCCTATCAGTTGTACAACTCTCTATCCTTTTGATCAACTGAAATGCCTGCCACTGAAAACATTCAGAGAAGGGACTCTTCGGTGCCACATAGAGAGTTGCTTTTCAGCTGGAAGAAGGGTGTGTCCCAGAGCTTTTACCTGGGAGCAATGATGATCTTGTCAAGCACTTCAGTGAGACCAGCCCAAGTTTTTAGGGTGGGGATCCAGACTGGTTATACGTACCGTCAGTCCTTCTCCCAGACAAAGGCACTAACACCTCAAAGCCTGCATGTAAGAACATCTACTCAGAAATCATTTTAATCAGACACCAGCTGAGTGGGGGAAAGCAAAGGAACAGAGAAGAGCAAACAAAACTCCCTTGGTCTCGGATGTAAAAGAACCCAGCAGCGATGGACTGGCCCTTCTTCAGAACAGCGGCGGTGCTGTTCATTTTTCTGGTAAGTGGACTCTGTCAAAACTGCACAATTATTCTCATTGTAAATGAGTGACAACTTTTTAGAAAATGTTATTTAATATTATTTCTCACCTAAACCCATTAAAAGTTTATGTCAATGACAAGTTGATTTTATGAACTAGACCTTTACATAGTGCTCCTCTCTTTAATTGAAGACTTAGATCATACTAATGCATCAGTGTCGACTCATCCTATCACATCTCTGAGACTGAAGTCCGTGCTAAGTCATGCTGGGAAGATATTGGATAGCTTAGTAGCACTTTGTTGTTCAAATTCTCTTTGCAGGTGGGCTTTTAAGCTAAATATTACAGGCATGTCCTGATTTTTAACCTAAACCTTTTTCTATCCCTTTAGTATCTTTGTGGGAAAATTCACGATAATTTTTAAAACATAAAAATAAGATCCGTATAAATTAAAATCATAGCAGTTTATGGCTGGCCTTACTATCCAAACAACCTTTTCAGTTCCATATGCAGTTAGGATTCACACTACTAATACCAAAAGCCTCACGTTGCTAAACTATGATTTTATTTATAACAGGATTTTTTAATTAAAAAAAAATGGTGGTATAGGAGATATATAAATGACATAGTAGGTGAAGGAATGGCTATAATTAAGGAGTTTAAGTGTAATTATTACTATACTTGTCCTTACTACTGAAGGTCAGTAATAACCAACATAAAAGTTGTACATTTGATGTTCAAAAATAATGAAATGTCTTGCCACTGCCCCCCCCCCCGCCACATTATTAGCTTTCTCCCTTTAGAGCTAATACTAAATGCAACACCAGTGTATTACATCAATTTTACTTATGGTAAAAATATTAAAAGAGCCATCTCTCTCACAGTAAGGATAATGTAATTCAAAAAGGCAGGTGCCAGGTAAATCACCCTCCAACTTGGCAGAAGGCTGTGCTGTGGTTTATATTTGTTTCTACTTGCTTAATTTTTGAACTGGAATGCTGAGTTTGTAGAATAACAAGTCAACTCTTTTATTCAAGGTACAGTGGTTAGTTGAAACTCAGTTCCTTAATTAAGAGGGGTCATAATTGGTTGATTTAGTTATAAATGAGCATCAATAAGCTGGTAGCTTTAGTGCCAAGCTGCCCTTCAAACTATCCTATTCCATGGACTCTTTAATGGATCTTTGGGATCAATTGACATCATAACTCAGTATGTGGCAGGAATCAATGTACATTATACAGTATGCCATTTGTATATAGGAGCATTTGTGTGCTATCAAATAATCAAATGCTTTTACCTTTAATTTCATATACATTTGATCCATTTAGGCCTACTATAGATTCAACTGACTATCGTTTGTTCAGATGCTTATGTTCTGTCATTGAATCTGTGAGATAGGCCTTATTTCTGGCTTTATATGATTATTCCTCACTAATGACATCCTATAAATTTCCTTTTACTAGCCACTTCCTAATTAGTCACTCTTCAATAAAAGGTATCATTTTATCAAAAGCATGTATTCTCATTGAACTTTCTCTCTTTGGAGAGAGGTTTCTGGATATTCATATTTTCTGAGCCTGAATAGTTTTTTTGTTTGTTTTGCCATATTTTACTTGGAATCAGTCACAAGCGTCTCATACCTCATATGAGAATTATTTCTCAAAGAACTTATTCTATTATGAATTAAAGTATTTCATTTTCACATGAACGTCATAACTGTTTTTGTAAATCATTTCATTTTCTAAGGTTTATTAGCAAACCACAATTTATTTTTACTGCTGATTTTACCAGATGATTTTGGTAATTGCTGTTTGAAATTATCGAATCTGTCTTCCGCTTTAAAAATACTTTCCCTCTCCCTCACCCCCACTCCCCGCAAAGGGCAACACCACTGTAGCAAACTCTTCCATTATCATTCTGTTAACCTCACTATAAATGCTTGCTTTTACCAAAAAAGAAAAAAAACTATGTAAAGTGCTAAAAGTTGATAAATGAAAATCTACGTTAGGAAGTATATTTGGTCAGTTATTAAGACTTTTAAGACATTTACATTTTAAGACATTAAAGAAAATCCATTTGAGAGCTGGGTACTCTCTGTTTACAAGCATATTGTAAAGCCTGCTCAATACTTCCGAAGGTTTTAGACCTTGTTAAAATCAGTGGGCTGGATCAGGGTGAATAAAGCTGGAAGAGCTTCTGTTTTAGTGACAACGATTACTACATGATCATTTCATTATTCAGGTAAGTCTCCTGTACAGACAGGTAATAGCTTACACCTGCTGTAACACAGCAAGCCAAATAAATTTTATTGAGTTTGCAATTATTTTTCTTTGTTTACTGCTTCTGTGAAATCAGTGTACTTGTGGGGGGAGAGATTAGAATGTATTTTCTCTAAGCTGGAGGGCAATGTTACCTTATGCACCAAATATAAGAAATCTGTATAAATGGTTGTGACTATAGTAAAAGGTGTTGGATGGTCATTATGGGAAAGCAAAATAGAACCAGTAGAATTTCTGTGGTTCTTATGATTTCTGAAGATTACTTACACATTTGCCGAGTCTAATTAGTCCATTCAAATGAATTCAAATCTCAAGGTCTCTTTCTCTATAAAGACAAACTTCTGCAGCTTAAGTTCAAAGAACAAAGAAAACAATTTTTTATCTATTACCAAGAATGATCTGATTTCTTCAGTTTGTCATACTAGCCTATCTTCTCCACTTTCCATGGATTAATATTTCCTTTAAAAAAAAACCCTCTGACCACTTGATATACTAACTCCATAATTTGAACTTAGCTGCAGTTCTTTAAGATATAAGCAGGAATTTGTCAGAGTATTCCTCAGCACTCAGACTAAAATACACAGAAGAAAAAAATTTATTACATGGTCCATCAACTCATTTGAATCAGACATCTTAAATTCCTGTATTTGTGTTCACTGATGCCTAGAGCAAAGACTAACAAATCAGTACAGACCAAACAGAAGAGAAGCAAAAGAGAGAAGTCTTTCATCATCCTTTTAATTCAAAATGTATGCTTTATTGTTTTATAGTGATATACATTATAGAAATTAGTATTTCAGTAAAATATTTCATAGAAAATGGAAGCAGTATGCCTGTTAAGTGAAACTTACAAACTGTCTCTAAGCATAATAATTTCCATCTATATGGTATTCTTAAATGCTTTATTATTTCACTCCAGATTTAGGATCAGCATCTTGTTTCACCTTTTCGAAAAAAAGGAGTACAAATTTATCATCACTGCAAATTTTTCATCACTGCAAAGAAATCCTTGAATCTTTGACATCTGTAGAAATCATTGCATTCATTTATGTAACAAATAAATGATGAGAGCCTTCTGTAAGGTTCAAGCAGGAATGAGACAGTTATCAAACCTAAACCAAAAAGCATTTTGGCCAAGAATGGCCTTGCCCCTGGTATAAACTTTCCTGGCTGTTCAAAACACTCTCCCCATTGAGCCCAGAGGAGACCTCAGAATCCTCCTCAACAATTGCACTTTAGGAAGCCACTGTCAGTTGGTCTGAGTTACCACAGAGTAAAAATATTTTGCCATCCCTGATTTAGTTAGGTATTGGAAATATCTAAAGAAGCAGGAAATTCTGACCTGATAAACAGAAGGCCTGACCCCTAAGGACAAGATTCACCTGTTTAATGAGACTTGTGAAAATAGAAAAATGACACTCTTGTCTACACTCAGAGCATTTAATTTCTGATAGCTCTTTCTCCGTGATAAACATTCTTAAGGACATTGCTGCTGAGTAGCGCCACGTCCTAACACAGCATTGCCTAATGTATAAGCAGGGAGTGTGCTCAGCATTGCAGACAGGCTTACTGTGCTCCCTTCCACTGAGGGAATGCCCTAGCAGAGTGCTGGGTCATGCCACCCTTGCTGGTCATGCTTGGCGTGGAAATTCCTTCAATGGACAGAGGCAGGTCAAACACCATCAGCTGCTGATCCATCCACTCTATCAGTCTATGAGAATGGAGTGCAGCCTTTTACACTTGTCTAATGAGAAACCCTACGGAGTACAGTTTTACTCTGCAACACACGGACTCGCCATGAGTTGGAATCGACTCAACAACAACTGGTTTCGTTTGGAGTGAGAAACCGCCTCTCTGCAAATTGATTGCTGCCTGTTGCTCATAAAATTACTTGACTATAAGTTATTTGAGGGCAGGTTCTATGTCTGATTCACCTTTCAATCTCTCAAACGTAATGACTTGTGCCAGTGCAAGATTGCTCAATAGGCATCTAATCACACAAAGCAGAGGCAGCAGAAGGGAATTTTTGAGTATTTTATATTTCTGTGCCCCTACACACTTCAAAAAAAATCATCAAAGATTAAACATAGAAATGATCATGTTGCACTTCACAAATGCTTATTTTTATGGTGTAGTATTACACTTAACTTTACATTTCATAATACTTTTAGGGCTTAAAATAATACCATATTACTTTTAGGGCTTAGACCCTATAAAAGCCTTAATCCAGGCTTGGATCCACATAATAAACATTCAATACATGTTTGTTAAATAAATAAACCAATGAACAAGTAAGAGAAACCAACTCATTAAGGCGTTGTCAACCCTGGACTTACGTCCTTTGTTCAAAGCAGTATGAAGCAAAGACAATGATTTTAAAAAGAAGCAAATTACTGTATTTTAGGTTTGCTTCAAGTTCATTATTGTGATTTATAGCAAGAGCTAACAAGTACATTAAAATTTGAAGCTTTACAAAAATTACCAAGTAACTATTTGTGAAATACCACCTCACAATTATTAAATGCAAGACATTTTCATTATAAAAATTACTTATTATTCTCAAGTCCATTTTCATTGTATGCAAAGAATTATAAACTTCAATATCAAAAAAAATTTAAATGACTACAATTAGAAAATTACTGAAATTAGTGTGCAAGTTTGTGTCTTGTGGCTTTTTTTTTTTTTTTTAAATAAATGGATTGACTCCTAAAATAGAGGTGACGGGATGACTCATTGGGGATGCACTACAGGTGAATTATTCTCTGCTTTCATAGACGTTTAGGAGCTAGGAGGGACTTTAGTCTTATATGCAGATAAGGAAATTGAGGCCCACAGTGGGGTAGGAGAGCTGAGATATACTCAGACAGCCCCTACATTCATCTCTAAGGGAATCTCCATCATGGTCTGTAAACACAAATTCCAGATTATTTCTGAACCCAAACTACTCTGCTCTTTGCCAGGAAATAATCCCACCCTTTCTTTAGGGACCAGGTCTAAATCATTCTAAATCATTAATTTCTCTCTCCTAATCTATGGATTTTAATCTCCATCCCTCCTCCCTTCTGCCCTCTGTCTTTGAAGTCCTTTCTTTCTGTCAATTCCCTTTTGCTGTCTCCATCACAACACTTCCATGAATATCATCTCTTCTCTTTCAAATCAAACTCTCTTTCTCTCCTTTCTGAGCTTTCAAAAATCCACAGAACTTCCCCTTCCAAAAATTTTCCTTGAATGCTCCTACATTTAATTCTACCACCTCACCTTTCTGCTTCCTTTTATCACTAAATTTCTGGAAAAAGTGACCATCTTTATGTTCTCTCCTCTCCATCGATGAAGCAAGTTCTTGTTCCACGCAACTGAAAGCTTTCTCTCAAAGATCACCTCAGCATAACCTCAGCATATCCTTGGGATTCACTCTGCTCTAATTTTTTGATCATCTGACACTCGTTCACATCCCATCTGTCTTTCAGTTTTTGCTTCTCATGACATTCATGACACTGCATAGATTTTTCCTGCTGTTTCTTTGACCACTCCGTCTCTTTCTCTTTGTTTCTTTTTTATTGTTGTTTTCCCCAGTTAAATAAATGTAGGAATTTCCCTAGTTTCATCTCAGCAACAGGCTGCTTCTTTGTTCTATTCTCTACTTTAGATTCTTCCTATTCACGTTTTCCCTTCATTTCCACTCTCGTATCTGAGCAGATGTCCCTCAAATTTATGTATTTAGCCTGAACCTCTGTTCATATTCCTAGATATATTTCAAATTGCTGAGCAATTTTACCTGGTCATTCCTCTGGCATCTCAAACTCAGTGTGTCCTACCTGGCTTGATTCTGCTACTTCCTTATTCGCAATCTCTCAGTTTAAAACTGCCGTCACCTGGGATTCCTCCCTATCTGGACTCCCACAACCCATCTGTTCTCAAGCCCTGTCAGCTCTACCCATGCAGTGTCTCTCCCTTGATCTTTTTGTGTCTGCTCCCACTGCCACTGCTCTGGTTTAGCTCCTCCTCATCCTACAAAACCAAAAAAACCAAACCCATTGCTGTCAAGTTGATTCTGACCCTATAGGACAGTATAGAACTGCCCCATTCAGTTTCCAAGGAGGGCCTGGTGGATTTGAACTGCCAACCTTTTGGTTAGCAACTGTAGTTCTTAACCACTACACCACCAGGGTTTCCCTCATCCTACAGGGCGTTGCCTAATGTACGAGTAGGGAGAGGGCTCGGCACTGTAGTTGGGCTCAATGTGCTCGCTTCCACTGAGGTAAGGCTGTTTTGATGCAGAAGATTCTCAACAGCTCATGGCCTATAATCTTTGCCTCTTCCCACCACTCTTGCCAAGTGCTGTCAGAGTGATTTTTTAAACCCACAATTTTATAATGCCTTCCCATATCCAGTATTTCCCTACTTCACACAGGCATTTGGTGTTAGAACTGAAATTTACCTATACATAATTTTGTCTACTTCTTTCACTTTATAAATGAGAAAACTAAAGCTCGGAAAATGTGAGAAATGCATTGAAGTTTTCCGGCTCTATCAAGTGCTCTTTTTAGTTTATTATATTGCATTTTAAAGCCAAGAGTGACTTTGTTTCAGAATGTACATGAGACTCTGAGCAAACCACAAAAAGTTATGTGAACCTACCCACATTTTGAAGCCGACTTGGCAGTTTTTTAATGACGATACATTGAGAGCCTGAGTCTCTGGTGAAACCTAGTTGGTCTCTTGCCTAAGTTACCTCTCATGGGAAAAAGAATGACCTAGCTTCATAAATTTGGAAACGTTTATTAGTCAGCTGGCATAGTTATCCAAAACAAACAGCAGGCGCTGACACTTCTTCAGTGTGGTGAGGAGAGTGCAATACGGATAACAGACAAATACACGATTCTATAGCTGTAAAGAAGTAACTTTCAAACAGACGAGTAAGGTATCCCACCAACCTCCTCCCACACCCACAAACATGAAAGTAGAAATAAAGGACTCAGTGAGATCACAAGGAGCAAGAATTACACACTGGCCTGACCATCATTTCAGCTCTTCCCCAGAGACTGGCTCTAAAAATAACATCTCAGTTACTGGCACTTAACTTTTCTTTCTTTCTCCCCTACCCCTCCCTTTAGTTTTATTGTTATTATATGTGAGCATTCTTAATCTCAGAGATAATTTTAGGTAGATTAAAATCAAGTTTTTTTGTCATATTAATTCTTTGAAGCATGTTTTCATTAGTAATTTACTTAGATGAATAGGTTATCTTATACTTTATTATAAAACCCATAGCTCAAGTACAAATTCAGGCTGAATTGTATTGGAATGTATTTAGCCATAAATTAATACCCAAGCCTCAATGTCCTTATCTGTAAAATGCAGATAATAATAGTATCTACCACATGTTTTTGTTCTGAAGATTGGATGTATGGATTTCTCTAAACACATTGCTTGGTATTTAGTTATCATTCAATGAACTGTGCCAGTGGTAATAATTAACATTAAATATATACCAAGGGTATATATTTCCTATAATAAAAACAATACCTTTTTACATACCTCATATTAACCACAAAGAGATATTTCTTAAATTATTATGGCAAATTTTTAAAAATGAATAGAGACTTAAAATTTTATATTTTATTTAAAAGTGAAATTAAACCCCAAAATAAAAAAAGTAATTTACTGTATTTTTTCATGATCATTAGTGTTTTTAAATGCAAATATAATTTGCTTATATCAGTAATGCTGATAAAGTCTAATTGTGATAACAGTTTTTATACTTTACACTCCTAAAAAATGCAATTACAAGTTGAAAATTTCTTTTGTAGGGAGAAATAAAAACTAAGAACTTACACCATCTTTAGTAGTTTTAAAGTGCAATTTAAAACTTGATGAATACAAACTAGCCTTCCAATTCACACCTAAGTTTTAGACAGACATTGTACAATGTCTTCAACAAGTATATTGATACATTAAATTCAATATTTGAATGTCTGTGGTTTTAGAAATACCTGTGGTTTTAGAGAAAAAAATTTAAACTATCCTGATTTATCAGTAAAAAATTATGCGTAATGATCAAGACCAAAGCTGAAACTAGGCAGAGCTCTGCTTGACTGGCACATCTGTTTGACTAAGGAAATTGTTTGATTCAGGAGAAAGGGCTAACAGAAGCTGCTTACTCAGCCCCTCTTCCCTGTGCTCCTGAAATTTCCTCTCCTTGCTGTGGTAGGATGCAATTATACCACCTATTTTATTTATTGTTAATAAAATGTCAAATATAAGCTATTTTTTACATAAAGGAAGTTATTTTCTTTCGTTTTAGAAGTTTTTATTCTCATATTTCAAAAACAGTTTAAAAAATTATCACCTTCAAATTTTTAAGAATACCAGAAAATCTTCCATCTAGATTTGGAAAGTGAAGGAACAAATACTCTGTAGCTTTCTGGATATCTTTCTGCTTTATATTCTTTCTTGGCTCCACAACTTTTTTTTTTTCTTCCTATTTCCACCTATGATTTGTCAGATTCTGAAACTACAGTGGAATCTTAGAGTGTTAAAACTTACTGTTGGCTATTGTTGAGTAGTCTCAGAATATCTCCAGCTCTGCAGGCACAAGACTGACTAAGAGAGCTGAGTTTCCTATCCTCATTTCCCCTGGGTTCTAGCTTCAAATATCCTACCTCATAAAATAACAGGTATCTACATAGGCTAAGAATGAAAAGAGATTTAAAAAGAAAAGTAAGGAGAAGAGCAACTTGAAAGGCAAAAACCAAAGGAATTCTTAGCACTATGATCAGGCCTGAGAGGTAAATGAGTGCCACCTGCCATTTGGGACAGAGTTTCCTCTTCAGCACTGCTGCCACTGTTAAAATAATTTCACTGACTCACAACTCACAAGACCACTGTTTGATCTTTTCTTAATGATCAGATAATACGAATTTTAAAGCATTCGATTAAACGTTAACTACTGTGATTATCTTATTCTTTACAGGTGGTGGTGGAAGTTAACAGTGAATTTCGAATCCAGGTAACATACAGCAAACCCATTTTTTTAATGAAAATTATTTGTAACAATATATTTTCCAAAGAAAAATTCATCCTTATAAGTAAAATTAATATAAGGCTAAAATTAATAGATTATCAAAACCATCAACATCTTCTCCTTCTACATTATACTTACCCCTCCTCCAAAATCTCCAATACAATGTGAATTATCAGTAAAAGTTAATAGATACTGTTACTTTATCATGCCCAATCAAGGTAAGAGATTACAATGCTAAAAATGGCACCATCAAATGGCATTCAATCAGAAGGCAAAAACGTGAATGGATCAAGTTTGCTGCATCCTGTCGTGAAGGTGAAGACAACTCAAAGAAAAACCCGATCGCCAAAGTAAGTATTAGCTCAAAGCACAAGATTGCAAATCAGAACAGATAGTTTCAAAATAATCTGTCTTTTAAATCTTAGGGAAAAAATTAAAACTATCCTGATTTTTCAGAAGAGTGAAGAACATATCTTACTGAAAAGTTAAGAGACAGATCAGGACTATAGTCACTCAGATTACAAAAATTGAAGCCACTGAAGTACAGATTAAAAAATTTAGACACTCAGATAAAGTTAAACTTTGATTCATCACACTGGTGAAATTAATACACATGATAACGTGTTGCTTCAAACTCTAGATGAAAGGAATATAGTAATTTAAATGATGAATTTAGCACATCAGGAAAGACCAATCACTAGAAAAGGACACCATGTTTGGTAAAGTCGAGGGCCAATGAAAATGAGGAAAACCCTCACTGAGATGGATTTATTTGTTTCTTGTTTAGTAGAAATAGAAACTGAGTTTCTTCTATTACATTTTCAGTTACCATTGGAAATACTAGAGCTGTAATTATTACACTTATCTGGGAAAACATTTCCCAGTTGATAACAGGGGCATCATATTCCATAATTCTCAAGAAATATTGCTGTTGTATATTAAGCATGAAACTATTTGCTCGCTATAACATTTTCAATTGTTCTTGTTCTCCTTTTATAGATTCACTCAGATTGTGCTGCAAACCAGCAAGTTACGTATCGCATCTCTGGAGTAGGAATTGATCAACCACCTTATGGAATCTTTGTTATTAATCAAAAGACGGGTGAAATTAATATAACATCCATAGTTGATCGAGAGGTCACTCCTTTTTTCATTGTAAGTGAGCTCCATGTCTATATTTATATTTCTATATCTTTGAGCCTAAGTTATTCTTCAAAAATCATAAGCTCAGATCATACTTGATTTGATTTCAAGAGCCTCAATATTCAGGCATTTTAAGTTATCTTTTAACCCATAAGCATCACATGCCCTAATACAAAGAGAGAAGACTGAGAGAGAGCAATATTTCACTTAAGTGTCTCAAGTAAAAATGCTACCCTCTAGTTTGTCCTCATTGGCAAACTAGAGTATTTGTTTGGAAGGACAGTACCTAACTTTTACTTCTTTTTCTTTCATTCAGCTGAGATTGGTGGCCCCATTTAACTCCAATGCTATGTGATGGTCATGGAACGACTGGGGGAATCTTTTCTGAGGGAATATAACTTTATTTTATTTTAACATTGCTCAAGCTCACCTGAGCTCTGCCCGGAAGTCCTTTCATTTATCCTTAGCAGCATCTTACTCCATTCTTTCCAGTGGCTGTCACAAAGCTTAAGTAATCTCTCTCTTCAAACCCTCAACCCTCTACTTGAAGTGGCTGATCCCATGGTCAACTTCATTAAAAACTCTGAGACCATCCATCACAAACTCTCACAACTAATTCTCTCTCTTCCAGCTCAAAAATGTTTTGCATTAACTCCAAAAGCAGGATCACTTTTCTGCTTTTTCCCCAAAGCTTATCCCAAGAGATTTCCATTGTCCAATAATTGCCTGTTTCTTCTACGGCCTTACTCCATCAACTTTTGTTGTTCTTGTTGGTCATCCCTCTTCTGCTCACTCCATTGGCTGTTGCCACTCCCATCCGTAATCATGGCCATCACTTCTTAATACTTGAAATAAAAAGTTAAAAATAAATGAAACCTTCTTTGATCTGGTAATAGAAGAGGTTTTTTTAAAACCCCATCAATCCATAGCCGAGGTATATTCAAATAGTAGTCTGTATTTGCCACTTTCATTCATGCAGCTTATCTTCATTCCTCAGAGGACTTCAATGCCTTAGTCTTCAATTCCAAGTCTATATTCCTACCTTAGCTTCCACAATGTTTCTGCACAAACCCTCAAAGTCAGCATTCCAGCCTATTAGCTTTTCTCTTAGCAAAATGCATTTTTATATAAAATATACAGCTTACGTAAAATAGTACACTTTAAGTATGTAGTTATGTACACTTTAAATAAAAATAATAATAATGCGAACACCCTTGTAGCCACCACCTAGCTTAAGAACTCTCAACATTTCTTTGAATCCCTCATACGACTCTCCTTGACCACATCCCCAAACCTCCCAATAGCCACTATTTCTAATTCCAAACACTGCCTTTTCATCATTCTGTTTCTTTCCTCACATAAATTCTTTTACTTGGAACACTCTACCAATTCCCAGCTCCACCTGCTGAGATTCTCTTTCAACATCTATTTCAGTTGTTAGACACGCCTATGAAGTCATAGTATTCTTTTTGTCTTCCTTTATAGAACTTATTGTGATACCTTTCCTTACATGGTATTTTATGTTAGTGTTTGCCTCCCCTTATTGATTATCAACACTGCTTGTGCGTATCTTCTAGAAGGAAATAATATGTCTAACTTTCCCTTTAGTTTCCCACTGTGTCTAGCATAATGCATAGAGAACTTAATAAATAGGTGTTGCACTGTATAATAATTTCTCTTTTCTCTCTTAGATCTATTGTAGAGCTCTGAATTCCCTGGGCCAAGATTTAGAGAGGATTCTTGAGCTCAGAGTCAGGGTTTTGGATATAAATGACAATCCTCCTGTATTTTCTCTGTCTACATTTGTAGGACAAATAGAAGAAAATTCTAATGCAAGTAAGTAATCCACTTGGTTAAATAAACAAGACTGTATTGGCTTGCAGATCACTCTTAACAGCCAGGCAACTGTAGGTTAAACTATGTCGAAGTACCACATCATGAATATAAGAGAAAAGCTGTGGAAAAGCATGCAGAGCAGAAAAGCGTCAGAAAAATCTCCATAATGGCTGTCTCTGGATTTATGGTAGCAGCTCCAATCTGTCATACACAAGAGACAAGTAGCAAGGAGGATTTTCTCATGTCACTCACACACTAGCTCTGTAGGAGATTCCTAATGAGAAATTCCAAAAGTATTTTGCACAGTGGTGACAGCGGCATCAGGTTAATAATTCAGCCTCCCAGCCTGACTGTTTGGAAGGGCAATCCCATCCACTTTTGTTAATACTGTTGTTTTGGTTTTTTGTTTTAACTACTTTAAAGTTGTTTATAGAAATCACTTCCAACCAACCTATTTTGTGGCCATAATCTCCAAGAGCTTTTGCTGAAAACAAATAAATGCAAATCAAGCATTTTTCCCCTGGCGCAGTGGTTAAGCGCTCAGCTGCTAACCGAAAGGTTGGTGGTTGGAATCCACCAGCCGCTCTGGGGAAGAAAGATGTGGCAGCCTGCTTCCCTGAAGATTACAGCCTTGGAAATCCTATGGGGCAGTTCCACTCTGTCCTACAGGGTCGCTATGAGTCAGAATCAACTCTATGGCAACGGGTTTGTTTTGTTTTGTTTTAAGTATAATTTAATAAATATAGGTTTTATTTGCTTTTTACTCAAGTCATTGATTTTATGTATTTGGAATGCATTACAAACTTAATCCTGTTTAGCTCATCATGTATATTTAAAGCTGATAATCTCTTAAGTGTTGCTAGTTGAGGGGCACCTGAAAATCTCTACAACTAAAGCATTTACCTGCAAGGGCTTTGACAATCTACTGGTGCAAGTGCCTCCTACCCAAAACCGAATCCACTGCCGTCAAGTTGATTCTGACTCACAGCAATTGCCTCCTATAGACTACTGTACATGACACCATTTTAACTGCTAAGTACTGTCACTTAGGAGAGGCAGTTAATATACTATACTAACTGCCTATAGTATCTTTGGCAGTATACGAACCGCCTAAAGCACCAGTGCAGATTTCACTAAATACATTTAAAACAGCAGAGATGGTTTCTCATATGAATTCAAAATTTCAACTTTCCATAATTACTTTTAACCTTTCCGTGCAATTTCTTGTAAATTTGAAAAATCATTACATTTTACTTTTATTTCTTAAAATATTATACCAATTTTTTGAACTTTAAAAAGATATTATTATAAAAATACTTGTAAAAATTCACACAACACGGCAAGTAAAAAGGGAACAGGAATCCATTCTCTGTTCTCCCTAATACCATTCTTCATATAAACATACGTAAACATGATTTTGGACACAAAGGGGATCATCTTTTACATATTACTCCCCAACATTTTTTCACTTAAATATATTTTGAACATATTTCCATATCAGTAATATAGAGATTTCTTCATTCTTTTTAACAGTTTGCATTGCATTTCATTATATGAATGTATCATAATTAATTAATTACCTAGTGTACATATAAAAAAAAAAACAGTGAAACGAATAGAGATACAGAAATAAATATGCTCTGGTGCATTTGCATCTACAGAAAGGACAGTTATGCTTAAAAGGAGTTGAATGTAGAGAAATATTTCAGTTTATGAACATTGGCAGCTTTTCATGTTTTCCAGGGTCCTTCATCAAAACAGCTAATAAGTTTAATGGGAAATATGAAAGAGAGGACAAGATATGTAGTTAAATAAGCATTTCTTTAAACCTACTAGTAACCTAGCACTTTGCTAAGGACCAAGCAAAATAGAAAAATAATAATATATACTATTTATTAAGCATGCATTATTCAATATAGACACTTTATCTAATAGCATAGCACCTCATTAAACTATTTAATTCTCACATGAACTGAGTGAAGATGGTACTATTATAGATGTGGAAACCGAGGCTAAGATCGTATAGTTTGAAGGTGCTAAACCTGGGAAAGAGTTGTCCTGTCTTAATATCATTTAGTTTCACCACAGCAGCTGGAAGGAAGGAAGGAAGGAAGGGGGGAAGGGGGGAAGGGGGAAAGGACGAAAGGAGGGAATGAGGGAACGAGGCAAGGAGGGAAAGAAAAAAAAGGAATGAAGGAAGAAAATTAATTGTATTAGAATAAGAAATTGAAAGCCAGAATAGTACTTTTCCTTTGTTTCTCAACTATCAGTAATGTCTAGATTCCTAGTAAAATGTGATCTTTTTCATCAAGGCAAAAGTATAGAAAGGAGATAAGATATCGATGTGTTGAAGGAGCAGAAAGGGAAGAAGCTAAAGTGCACACTATGTAGACCAAATAACCCTAAATCCTGTTGGAAAGGTGATATATTATACTATAACAAAGGTCAATTGTCTATTTTCAATCTATTTTTCTTGATTTCCAGATACACTGGTGATGATACTCAATGCTACTGATGCAGATGAACCAAATAATTTGAACTCAAAAATAGCCTTCAAGATCATAAGACAGGAGCCTTTTGATTCACCAATGTTTATTATCAACAGATATACTGGAGAAATTCGAACAATGAATAACTTTTTAGACAGAGAGGTATATTTTTTCTTCTCTTGGAGTATTTGTTTAGTTTCAAAGGAACTGATTCTAATAATAAGAGTGCCTACAAGAAAATGATAAAAAAAAAACTAATATACTTTAATTTTAGATATATAATCTTTCCACATAATAGTAATGATGTAAGAAATAATTGTAAATGTAAAAGTGAGAATTTAAGTACATTTTATACAGTCATTTTTCATTTAATCTTACTTAGGGTTTACCCCAATTTAAGAAAACTGTATTCTGAGAGTACATAAAATATGCATGAAGTAGAGGGAATTTCAATTATGAAAATATTTTACTACTTTTAAGTAGGAAAATATAATAATTCAGCATTAACCTCAAGAAGCTCCATTTACAATCTGTGTAGAAATTGTCAAATGGGAACTTAATTTGCTGTGTAAACTTTCGCTGCAAACACAACAAAATATTATTTTAAAATAAGAAGCTCCATTACAAAAAAATGTCTATCATGAAATAAGTTTAAGAAACTCTTGATATTATAGCCCTGTCTTGGCAAGTCACAATGCATATGAACATGGTAGAAGCTCCAAGAACATTTACAGGCTAGGAAATTTGCTTATCATTATTTAACCCAGCATATCCTAAGCTCTCTTGTTAACAGAACTCTTTTTTTTTTTTTTTAATTCATATATAATACTTGTTAACAGCCTACTGAATACTTTGGGAAATGAATCAAGGACCAGAGTGATGGATAGAAATGAAATAACATCCAATCTAATCTTTTCTTTTACAAATAAGAAAATAGCTAGTGGTGATTATCAGATTGGAATCAGCCTTTATGGTTTCTATTATGCCAAGTAGTCCCATAATTTAATTTTAAATATCTTTTTCATCATTTTTTTTTAAATATTGCCTTTAAATAAAATGTAGCTGGCCTGTATGCACTTTAGGTATATAAGTGAGGAAGTACTATGTACTAATTGATACTCAACTAAATTTTAATTTAATTATTATAGTTGTTTTAAAATGACGAATTCCTTGCTAATGACTCCTAGGTTTAGGATATATCAACATTATTTTTAACACTAATAAAACAGACCAAATGTCATCAGTTTCTAAGTTACTTAAATCACCTTTTTACTTGTTTAAAAATTATCATCAGAAGAAATTGACTACTTAGCTTTCTCTTTCTCAAAATTTCTTAGAGTCCAGTGGCTTTCCTTTAATGTCAAAAAGGCTGCAGTGGTGAAGAGCTCTGATAAAGAAAGTAAAGAAACCTGCAGTCACTTTGAAGCCACCAGAGCAGATATTCTTAACCTAGGGTCCATGGAGAGACTTCAAGATGTCCCTATAAATCCCTTACAATTCTGTCTATCATCTCTCTCCTTCTGATCACTCCTTATAAACATGTTCAGTTTTCTGGACATATTATGATTAATAAAGGGATGAGGTCTTCAAAAAATGCTGCTTCTTCACCAAAAACACAAGGAAAATATTAGCCCAAGAGACAGAAAGGGCCACATAAAACAGAGACTCAATCAGCCTGAGACCAGAACTAGATGGTGCCCAGCTACCACCAATGACTGCCCTGACAGGGAACACAACAGACAGTCCCTGACAGAATGGGAGAAAAGTAGGGTGCAGAACTCAAATTCTAGTAAAAAGACCAGACTTAATGGTTTGACTGAGACTGGAGGGACCCTGGAAGACATGGGCCCCAGGCTGTTAGCCCAAAACTAAAATCATTCCTGAGGTCAACTCTTCTGACAAATATTAGACTGGACTATAAGACATAAAATGATATTTGTGAAGAGTGTGCTTCTTAGCTCAAGTATCAAGTAGATACACGAGACTAAATGGGCAGCTCCTGTCCAGAGGCAAGATGAGAAGGCAGAGACGGTCAGGAGCTGGTTGAATGGACATGGGAAATCTGGGGTGGAAAGGAGAAGTGTGCTGTCACAGTATAGGGAGAGCAACTAGGGTCACATAACTATGTATGCATAAATTTTTCTATGAGAAACTAACTTGAATTGTAAACTTTCACTTAAATCGCAGTTAAAAAAAAAAAAAAAAAAGTCCTGCTTCTTTTATGGGAAGCTGGATAAGCATTGTTGGTAATAGAAGTCAAAAATTCAGTATTGATTCATGTGGGGTTTGTGGATTTTCAATATTCCGTGCTACCTCTATCTCCATCGTAGATTTATGTAAATATTAAGCCAATATTCTTAAAGAACTTTGCATGAAACAGAGTAAAGTCTACATCAACTTTGATATTGCTTTTATGTGTATTTTTAGCAATACGGCCAGTATTCTCTTGCTGTTAGCGGCTCAGACAGAGATGGTGGGATAGGTGGCATGTCAGCAGAGTGTGAATGCAACATAAAAATACTCGATGTCAATGATAACATCCCATACATGGAACAGTCTTCAGTAAGTATTTGTTCTGAAATGAATAACTTTAAATTCATTGCATTCTAAAATTTGTGCAAAAAATCCTATTTACATAGGCAATAGACAAGTGGTATCTTGGGTGAAGGGTGAGACAGTACACAATACAGGGGAAACTAACACAACCTGTACAAGGAAAGGTCATGGAGGCCCCA